ACCTGGTGGTTGCCGTTGGCACTGGCCTGGTTGATGCCGTTCCAGTCGTAGAACGCCTGCGAACCGCCCACTGCCTTTGCGGCGGCGCAGGCCGGGTTGGTCGGGTTCTCCGGGTTGCCCTGGAAACAGGCATAGACGCGGCTGACCGGCGTGGTCATGGTGCCATGGGCGAACGCGGTGCCGGCCAGGGCCAGGCCTGCGGCAGCGAATGAGGTGGTCAGCAACAGCGGTGTGGATCGGAATGACATGGCGCATCCTTGTGGTCGTCGAAAGGGAGCGGTGACCGCAGGAACTGCGCTGCGCGGCGGACTTCCGGCGCCACCCCGGCGAGTATCGAGTCGCCCTGCAGGGTGTGGAACCCTGGGCGTTCGGATCCGTGACTGCGCATGTGAAGCCCTTCCCGCAGGCTTCACGTGGGGCTGAACGGATGCGCTGGGCGTCACGCGATCGGCGTGGCGCCGATCACGTCGTGGAGGCCACGCTACGCGGCCTGTGCATCGACCCTGTCCGCCTGGCACGAGAAGCAGCCATGCGCGGCGTTGTGCAACTGCACGAACGCCACCGCCGCGTCGGCGAACAGCGCATCCAGCTGCGCGGCGACGTCGGTGCCCGCACAGACCTGGGCACCGAGCATCAGCGCAGACCGGTCGTAGGCCCGCACCGAGATCATCCGCCGCTGCACATAGGGCGGCACCACGCCGGGTGGCAGCACGCACCGGGTCACGCCGCGCTGTACGAAGATCGGGCCGGACGCGTGATAGGGCGAGTGCAGGGGCAGATGGACATGCGACAGCAGGAGCAGTTCGCTGCCACTGGGCGGGTCGCTCAGGCTGATCCGGCAGGGATGGCCGCCGCCATCACCGGCCCAGCGGCGCTGGATGCCCAGCGCGGCAAGCGCCGTGTCGTTCTTCTCGAACAGGTGCTGGAAAGGGCGGTGGTCGAGGCCACCGAGGTACCACGCGTGCATGGGCAGCTCCTTGGTTTTCCGCGGATTCTGCGTGTGCATCGGTGGCATTGCTCGCCGTTTTCCGACCTCGCATCCACGCCAGGCCAAGCAACACCGCAGGCATCGCGCGGCAAGGCGCTAAGATGCGCGCGCCTGCCCCGGCCGACGAGCGCCGCATGTCCCTGGATTTTCCCACCATCACCGTGCTTGGCTTCCTGCTCTGCATCGGCATCGCCGTGGGCTTCTCGCTTCTGCTGGTGGTGCTGCGCGGGCAACCGGTACTGCGGCAGTGGACCATCAGCCTGTGGCTGCTGACGCTGGGGGTGACCCTGCTGGCACTGCGGCCCTACCTGCCGCTGGCGCCTGCCGTGCTGGCCGGCAATGCAGCGATGGCCGGCTGTGGCCTGATGATGCTGCGCGGGGTGGCGCTGCATCTGCAGCAGCCACTGCCGCTGTGGCGGCCGCTGCTGATGGCGGCGGCATTCATGGCCTGCATTTTCGCCTTCCTGGTGCTCTGGCCGGACCTGCACATGCGCCTGCAGGTGTTCAGTGTGTTCGCACTGATCGTCGATGGCTGGATTGCCTGGCTGCTGCTGCGCCATGCGCCCGCGCAGCAACGCACCAGCTGCCGGCTGGCGGCGGTGGTGTTCCTGGCCGAAGCCACGCTGTATGCCGTGCGCCTGTTCCTACCGGTGGCGCCCGACGCCGGCGAGGACATCATGCGCACCGGCTCGCCGATGTTCGCCACCTATATTGCCGGGGTGATGCTGGAGCTGGCGCGCTGCTTCGCCATGGTGCTGCTGCTGGTCGAGCGCATGCTGGTCGACCTGCGGCACGCGGCGCGCACCGATGGCCTGACCGGCCTGCTCAACCGCAGCGCGGTACTGGCCGATGGCCAGGCGCAGTTGCAGCGCGTCCGCCAGCAGGGCCGCCCATTGGCGCTGTTGCTGGTCGATGTCGACCATTTCAAGCAGATCAACGACCGTTGGGGGCACCTGGCCGGTGACCAGGTGCTGCGCCACTTCTCTGCCGTGCTGCAGCACTGCACGCAGGGAAAGACGCACCTGCTGGGCCGCTATGGGGGCGAGGAATTCGTGCTGGTGCTGGCGGGCAGCACGTCGAGCGACGCCGTCATGCTGGCGGCGGTGATCCGCACCCGCCTGCAGCGGCACCCGGCCGTGCTGGCGACGGGGCCGGTTGCGGTCACCGCCAGCGTGGGGCTGGCCATGGACGAAGGCCAGGGCGACCTGTCCACGCTGCTGGCCGCCGCCGATGCGGCGCTGTACCAGGCCAAGGCCGCCGGGCGCGATCAGCTGGCCTGCGCACCGGCAGCGGCGATTTCGCCGTTTCCCATCGCCGCCGAGGCCGTGCCCGTGTAAGTTGGGTCACATCTTCCGCGGCAGCCCGTCGTGGTCGACAGGAACGTCCTCCAGGGGAAACGAGCACGATGCAAAGACACCACCTCGCGCTGGCCGGAATGCTGGCCAGCCTGATGCTTGCCGGTTGCAGCCAGCCGCCGTCAGCCGACACCCAGGGCGCCAGCGACGCCCCAAGCCGCCGCTTCGGCGCCATCGATTTCCAGCCCTGCACGCTGTCCACCGAAGGTGCCAGCGCCAATGTCGAAGCCCAGTGCGCGACCCTGCAGGTGCCGGAGGACCGCGCCCACCCCGGCGGCCGCCAGATCGACCTGCGCATCGCCTGGCTGGAATCGGGCAGCAGCGGAGCCGGCCAGCCTGATCCGGTGTTCTTCCTGGCCGGTGGCCCCGGGCAGGCCGCCAGCGAAGTGGCGGTCATCGTCGACAGCGCGCTGCGCCAGGTGCGCAAGCAGCGCGACGTGTTCCTGATCGACCAGCGCGGCACCGGCGGTTCCAACCCGCTCAGCTGCCTCGGCGCGGATGGCAAGGAACTGCAGATGGACGAGGACGCGGCCCCCACCGAGGCCTCGCTGCGTGATTACGCGCAGCGCTGCGCGGCCTCGCTGCAGGGGCGCGCCGATGCACGCTTCTACACCACCGCCGAGGCCATCGCCGATCTGGACGCCGTACGCCAGGCGCTGGGCGTGGACAGGTTGAACCTGGTCGGTGGTTCCTACGGCACGCGCGTCGCCCAGCGCTACGCGATCGCCTACCCGCAGCACACCCGCAGCCTGGTCATCGATGGCGTGGTGCCCAACGACCTGGTGGTCGGCGGCGAGTTCGCCCGCACGTTCGACAACGCGATCACCCTGCAGTCGGCGCAGTGCCGCAAGGATGCCGTCTGCAGCAAGCGGTTCCCGGTCGATACCCGGGAACAGCTGCGCGCCGTGGCCGAGACCCTGCGGCGTGCGCCGGTCACGGTCGATTACCGCGATCCCGGCACCAATGCGCCCCGCCAGGACGTGCTGACTCCGGACAGCGTGGTTGGCCTGGCCTTCGCATTCTCCTACGTGCCCGAATATTCTTCGCTGCTGCCGCTGGTGCTGGATGAAGCGGTGCAGGGCCGATACGCACCGCTGGCCTCGCTGGTGCGCGGCGCGACCCGCAGCATGGATTTCCAGATCAACCGTGGCATGCAGTGGTCGGTGATCTGCAGCGAGGATGCGCCGCGCTTCCAGGCCCCGGCAGAGAGCGATGACGCCCTGTTCGGTGCCGAAGCGGCACGTGCGTTCTTCGCGGCCTGCCCGGTGTGGCCGCACCAGCCGGCACCGGCCGCGCTGACCGCGCCGCTGAAGTCGGACCTGCCGGTGCTGCTGCTCTCCGGTGAACTGGATCCGGTCACCCCGCCGCGCTATGCCGAACAGGTGCTCAAGGGCCTGCCCAATGGCCGTGCGCTGGTCGCCCGCGGGCAGGGCCATGGCACGCTCAATGCCGGCTGCATGCCGCGGCTGCTTGGCCAGTTCATCGACACCACCGATGCCAAGGCGCTCGATGCCAGCTGCCTGGATACGCTGAGCTACGTGCCGGCGTTCACCTCGTTCAACGGATGGACCCCATGATCGTCGCCGACAACCTGCACAAGGCCTTCGACACCCGTACCGGCCGCATCCAGGCGGTGTCCAACGTCGGTTTCCGTGCCGCCGATGGCCAGATCACCGGCCTGCTCGGCCCCAATGGTGCCGGCAAGACCACCACCATGCGCATGCTGTACACGCTGATGACACCCGACCAGGGCAGCATCAGCGTCGACGGCATCGACGCCGCCCGCGACCCGGTGGAAGTGCGGCGCCATCTTGGCGTGCTGCCCGATGCGCGCGGCGTCTACAAGCGCCTGACCGCGCGCGAGAACATCGCCTACTTCGGCGAGCTGCACGGCCTGTCCGCGCAGCGCATCCGCGAACGCATCGAAGTGCTGTCGCATGCACTGGACATGGGTGACATCCTCGACCGCCAGACCGATGGCTTCTCGCAGGGCCAGCGCACCAAGACCGCCATCGCCCGCGCGCTGGTGCACGACCCGCGCAACGTGATCCTCGATGAACCCACCAACGGCCTGGACGTGATGACCACGCGCGCGCTGCGCCGCTTCCTGCTGGGCCTGCGCGAGGAAGGCCGCTGCGTGATCCTGTCCAGCCACATCATGCAGGAGGTGGGCGCGCTGTGCGACCACATCGTGATCATCGCCAAGGGCACGGTGATGGCCGCCGGCAGTGCCGATGAACTGCGCGCGCAGTCCGGCGAATCCAACCTGGAAGACGCGTTCGTGAAACTGATCGGCAGCGAAGAGGGCCTGCACGCATGAGCATGATGTCGACCCTGATGACGGTGATGCGCAAGGAGCTGCGTGACCTGTCGCGCGACCGCCGCACACTGGCGCTGACCCTGCTGTTCGGCCCGCTGCTGTACCCGCTGCTGATCCTGGGCATGGGCAAGCTGTCTGAAAGCCGCGTGCGCACCCAGATCGAGCAGCCGCTGCAGATTCCCACCATCGGTGCCGAGCACGCGCCGAACCTGGTCCGCTTCCTGGCCGCCCAGGGCCTGAATGCCACTGCCGCGCCGAAGGACCTGGCCGAGGCCATCCGCTCGCAGGAGATCGACGTGGCGCTGCGCATCAGCCCGGAGTTCGGCAGCAACTGGGCCGACGGCAAGCCGGCGCTGGTGGAGGTGATCCGTGACAGCACGCGGCGTGCCGCGGAGGTGCCCACTGCGCGCCTGCAGGCGGCATTGGCCACCTACAACGGCCAGGTCGGCGCGTTGCGGCTGATGGCGCGTGGCATCGACGCCCAGGTTGCACGGCCACTGGACATGGCCAGCCAGGACATGGCCAGTGCCGAAGCCAAGCGTGGCCTGATGCTGTCGGCACTGCTGCCGATCCTGTTGACCCTGA